GCGGTTCTTTTCATGCTGATTCAAACGCCTCTACCTCCTGCTACAGTGGAGATCCCTAATTCGGTGATTCTATGGGTGCTCATCATACATCTACCTAGTGTTTGGTCTAGCCATTTTGTCTCGCGGGCCACCCTGCGACCCGCGTTTTGAGCCCAAAGTACGCCAAAAGTTGCGGCGAAAAACACAGGGTCATTGCGCGAGGGAATTGGACAACCTCTCACGAGCATCTAATTTGCGCGTCAATCTCTTGTGCCTTCGGGCCCAAACCAACTCACCAGCATAGCCTAGGATTTCTTCTCGCGTCTCCTCCCGAGGCGACGCCGAACCGATCACTGTGCGCAGCACACGAGGGAAACTTGTGCCTCGACCACGTGGGCGCGGCGCAATGTTTTTGGGGAGGGGATGATAAACGGCTAATCCCCGAACCAGGAAAAACGCCTCGCATTTTGAAGACAGTTTTTTTTTTGTTGGTGGGGTGTGCAACACAGGTGAGTTGCACCTTGCCGGCTACTCCCCGGGCACCCATTTTCGTGCACAGCAGAGAGCTCCCAACTCGCGCTTTCACTCCACACAACAGCCTCCGCGCCATGGCAACCGACGAACGAATGCCGCTGGTGGGGCCTGACGGCGCGGCGAAGGAAGCAGCGCCTCTACAGCCTAACTCAAGCCCAATAAGTCTTCGAGGCACTGTCAAAGTGCTTGTCGGAGCCACCTTACTGTACGTGGCGGCCTTGGCAGGCGCGCGTACATTCCCACGCGGCGTCAAGGGACGCGTATCGCCGCTTTCGCCGTACAAGGGGTTCGATGTCAACGAGAGCTCGGTGGAGGGGGCGAGGTTGAGATTGGATGAGATTGACGGGACGACCTTGGCTCCAGGTGCGGTGATCTTCCACAAAACTAAACTTGCTTCCAACTTGCTTGCTTGAAATACTTCGAAGTGTTCGAGACCGCCGAGACGTATCCGTTGTACAAGCCGCACATGTTAGCCGGTGTACAGCTGTTGTCCGCGGGTTGAAAGACCACACGTACCCATCCACGGGCATGCCACCATATCCGCCGCCCACCGCAACGATTGCCTCTCTCTGTCGTGTTGAGCATCTAGGCTTTTCCCCCGTAGTCCGTATAACATACAAGGGGCTCCGCGGCGGGCCTTCAGGGCCCGCTGCTCCGCTGAAGTCCCCGAATGCGATGTCAAGTGATTGATTTTGACAACCAATGAGCGAAAAATTGCGGTGGATGATGATGTTGTGAGGTAGTGATGGCGAAAGTAGAAGGGTGGCGAGGATGTAGCAGATGAGGAAGGCTTGTGTTCGTTGGTAGATTGATGATGTGGAGTGGCAGCGAAAAAATTGTTGTGTTTATCGTTACAATTAGAAACGACACGTATTGGGAAACGGAATGCTTCCAAGCCCTATTGCAAGCTTGCAACAGACTTGTTTGAAGGAAATATATTGAAAAGGTACTACATGCAGACTCCCGCAACTTTTGCAAACAAATCTCACGGCGGCAAACGAAAAGCAGCTTTTGGCAACTTGGACGGAGTACGAAAGAAAGAGTATCACACGAAGCGGATGTACCTGTTCTCTTCGAAAAAACGATTCATGTTCTTCCTCTTGGCTAGAGAGTGGGTGTGTGGCTTGAGTGCGGGAAGGCCAAGCAAGAGCCCGCGGGGGTTTTCGTGTAAGAATTGCCCGCTGTTTCGCCCCCCCCCCCACCGGGAATTACGGCGTCGAAGGACGTTCGATCACACGACGCCACTGCCGCTAGTTGTGTGTGAGGCACTGGTAATCAAGACAAAAAATGTGTGTGAGGTACCCTAAAGTTCTCCCGCAACTGACGCCAAGCGCTTTAATCATGGGATACTGCTGTGTCATAATAGATAAAACGGGGAAATGGCCCCCGAGCTACCTAGAAATTACTGCCTTGCCTTGACAGCGGTTACTTGCAACCGACAGCGATTGAATACGGGTGTGAGCCCGCTGTGCTGCAGTAACATCTGGCTGCAGCTCCCGGCGGCGAGTTGGCGGCGGAGCGGCCGATAGCGGCTACTTCCGACAACCAAATGCTAGCAAACGCTCGTTCGCACTTGAGTTAGTTGCTGCTTGCGCTAGAGAGGGCTAGACAGAAGGAACACCGATTTGGTGAGGTGGCGTATGGAAGGTATATGTAGGTAGGGCGTATGTAGGGCTTCATTTCTTCCCCCCCCCAAAAAAAACAGGACACTGTCGGCTGATTTTCCCACATTCCCACGGGTCCGTAGGTGACGTCACGGAACCGGTCGTAGGCTCAACTTTGCGCGCTCGCTACGGCCACGCCGCGGCCGCCCCGACCGGGAGCGCGCGCCGGCAAGGCCCTCGCAGTGCGGGGCTACCGGTAGTCGCAAGCCCCGCACCGAAGCGAGGCCCAGGAGTAGTGAAATCGCGAAAAAAAACAGCTCTCGAGCGCTCACAGCACGACCCACAAGTACATATGATAGTTAATATATATTTATTTATCTTCGGCGTTCCACGGGAATTTTCGGCAATTTTAATACAGTGCCCAAAACACATTTTCCGGCGACGTTCGGCGACTTCCACGTGTTTTTCGGCGAGTCATCGTTCAGTTTCGTCGATTGTTGGCGATCTTCGGCGACGTACATAGCATTCACTTCCAGTAACACAAACGAGCGGGTCGCGACGCGGTTGGACTGCTGCGATGGTCACCTGTCACCTGTCCGCGAAAAGCGAAATGATGTGTCTGTCCTTTGTCCTTCTCGTATTTTTCTACAAACTACATCTTGCACGTTTCGCTGGTGTGTACATGCCATATTCCGAGCCCTTATCAGTTATCAAATAAATCAACGGAATGGAATACTAAGATGCTTCGATACTCCGACGTTACGCATGGCATGCACGCCTTCGTACGGGCAAAAACATGCAAATCTGGAGAGGTACTGACCCACCAAATACGAACATGCAAGACATCTACACGAAACTAACTGAAACACAGGTCATCAGTCGCTTTCGTCATCGCTGTCATCGCTCTGGTCGCTACCGCCGCCGCCGCTGTTGGCATCTTCGGCGCTATCCGTCTTGTGTGCTGAGCTGCAACTCTGGGCCCGGCCCCTGTTGTACTTGAGCAGTGCGGAAGCGCTAATACGGTCGCTGTACCCGTGTTGGATCCCGGGCACCGGCAGCAGGTGGCGTGGCACTGCCGCTGTCGCTGCCGCCGCCGCCGCCGCTGTCGGCACCAGAACCAGCGGCAGCACTTGTCCTTCGACCGACAAATTGCACCTCCTCCTTCTCCGAATCCTCGTCGCCAATGCTATTTTCCCATCTACCACCACCAGAGTAGGCTTCCATACGGGTAAGAAGCAACGGCATCGCACCGCCGTTCAGCTGCGGTGTGTGTAGCCGTGTGGGTGTGTTGTTGTTGTTGTTTTTCTCCCATTAATGGATTCTTTCGTCTGCCCTTCTGGCCCCTATCCTCCACTTTTACCAGCTAGACGACCCAACCGGGGTCACATAGGAGGGGGGGTTGGACCCCCTCCTGCGGTTCCTGCCTGTGAGGTATTTTGATCGCGAGAAGGGTACAGCAATCCCTTCCCTCGCGACTTATGAAGTCGATCAAGTTTACTAACAACGAGCTTTGCAGCGCGTCGCTTCCAACGGAGACCAGGATTTAATTAGCGAGAAAAAACTCACTCTGTCGGGACTCGAACCCATGACCTGGCCCTTAACAGGCTGCGAGGCTACCCACTAGACCACCGGGGCGACCGGTGTGTCAAGCTGTCTCCTCCCGGGGGTCGCAAGCAGGGGCACCGTGAAAATAATCGGCGAGAATCGGCAACCTCAACCCATGATTCGGCGGAGCCCCCTCCAAACACGGCGCTAGTTTTTGGTTTTCATCGACAGTTTTTTTTCCCGGCGGGCAGTTTTCTTTGGCGACATATTTCGGAATTTGACGTTTTCGGCGGTCGCCTACGGGGGAAAAGCCTAGATCAGCATCACAACTGCTCTGTTTGGGCCGCCCAGTCCGTTGCACTGCGCAAGAGTGCTATTTCTCGGAATCGTCATGTATACAACTTCTCCCCGATGACTTCTCTTCCAAGTTGTTTCCTGAAGGCGTCAAGGCTTTTTTTTTTCAAAGGCGTATTTATACACGGGGAAAGGCGCTCAATTTGTCCCTTTTACATAGTACAATACATTCTGACAACAAGGAGGCCAAACAGGTTTCCTGCAGTTGTGCATGACAAAGTTTGTTTGCCCGTAGCCTGTTGTTGATGTCTTGACATTAAAAACCGTTCCAACCTCTCTCTACCCAGTACCTTCGTACGTCCGTACTGGTCCAGCACTCGACGCGGTCGATCCCCGTGGTCACAGGTTAACTTACCCTAAGAAGGTACACTCAAATGAACTGGCCCCGAGGGGTCCCCAAGTCAGTAGAAATCAACGACAGATATTCTGGAGTCCTCCACTCCCTCTGCGCGCTATGCGAGGTAACAACTGAGACTAGGGGTCACCATCACGGGCCGGAGAGAATGAGGTACACCCCCTTGGTTCAATCATGGTACGTTACAACGCAAGCAGAGACAAGGCCATCTGGCACAGAAAAAGAGAGAAACAAAAAGAGAGAAAAGGAGAAAACAGAGAAAAAGAGAAGAAAACAAAAGGAAACAGTAAGGAAAGAGATATAAACTGGAAGAGAACGAGGACAAAAAGGGACCAGGCCGAAAATAACAAGAAATAAGAGACAGAAAAAGGAACACGGTGGAGAGACCACTGTCGAACAAGCAAACACGCAAACATGGCCACCAACCAGCGATACATTGTAAT